TACTGTGCTCTGTACGCTGACTGTACCCCCCATACTGTGCTCTGTACGCTGACTGTACCCCTCCCTGTGCTGTGCTCTGTACGCTGACTGTACCCCTCCCCATACTGTGCGCTGACTGTACCCCTGCCCGTGCTGTGCTCTGTACGCTGACTGTACCCCCCATAGTCCAATTAGGGAGATTCTCCTTCACTTCCTGTCCGATAGCAACAACAGAAATGAAGAAGGAGATCCCTTCAAAGTGAGGGAAATCCCTGGTGGTCACCACAACTAGTGTGCCCATTGGAAGATTTGCCATTTATTCCTGTTCTGGTGACAACCCTCAATGTAGGTATTTCTTTCACTTTCAGGGCTAATGGTCTCCAGGACGAATAAAGAGGGCGCATCTCCCTAATCTTCTGCCCCATGTACTCCAAGATGGAGACTCTCATAGTTTAGAGTTGGGACCGCACTATATGGAGGTGCCTTGGTGCGGCTGTGCGGCTTCCACATTTTCTGCAGAAGACGTGTATCTAAACCTCTCTTTTTAACCTTAGTGGTTAGACAAGTTTTTTTGCATGCTTGCTGGTAAGAGTGCTGGGAAACTTTTTTTGCTGTTTTACTGTTTGAACCCTCCCGTGTGCACCTTGCTGTAAAGCTGGTAACGAATTGATGAGTGCGTTTGCCATTTGTTTTGCTCTCCCTAATGGGGACACAGCAATAAAAACTACTCCACTCTTCAAAGCTATAAAACATTCAGTACTTCTGAGACCATGCAAAGCTAGGGTGTGAATAATTATGCTTGTTCTTTATTTACACTGTCTAAGCAACATGCTGTACATAGAAGTCGTTGTCCACTATTCAATCAAATGTCTCTTTTTTTTTTTTGCAGGGGAGCTGGACAGGAAGTTGGGAGGTCATGTATTATTTTAGAATTCAAAGGAAGAAAAATAATGGTAAGTTAAATTACTGGGGAACTGTGTGTGTTCATTCACGTGATGACCGGGGTGTTTAGCTTCCTGTCCCGTCCATCTTTCAGAGGCACTATGACTGACATTTGTTCCGTCATGGAATGCTTTACTGAAATGAATTTTATATCATTTTTTGGGACACAGCTTTCTTTTGGTGGTATATAATCACCACTGGGGTTTCTAGTTTTTACTATATAATGGGGAAAAAAAGTACCAAAAATTTTGAAAAAAAACCCCCTGTTTTCGTTCAGTGTTAACAGTGATCAATGGCCCTAGAATTATTATACACACTCTGATGTTCACAATGCTATGTGACAAGTGTGGTGCAATTTGTAATTTCACACACCTGATGTGTGTTTGTGGGGGCGGGAACTTTAAACAAAAAATGTTCTTATATGTGAACTTCATTTTTGAAACTTTTTTTTTTTTTTTTTACACATAACTTTATTGCTATCACATAGGAGGATAACAATCCTCCTATGTGATAGCATAGATACAGTGACAGGTCCTCTTTATGGAGACATCAGCAGTTTTTTAGACCCCTAATGTCTCCTAGGAAGCCTGAAGAAGCTGATGAAGCAAAGATCGTGCTTCATCAGCTTCTTCTCCTGGCTGCAGCAGCTGGAGAAGTGACACGCTGAAACCGGACGTGATGTAATGCCCATGGCTTCCGGGTTCAGTGATTGGAGGGGAGATCAGCCGATGGAAGTGTGCTAATCTCCCTCTGATTTAAATGCAGAAACCTGCTGTGCCGGCTCCAGGCTCAAGCGGGGGACAGCGGAGCCCAGTTTAGCCAACAGCGGAGGGGGTGCACACTTCCTGGTTCCATACAAACAATTGGGTGGCTTTATAGCTGTCACTGGCTGCAAAGATGTTCAAATTTTTCCACTTGTGTGTTGGAGCAGGAAAAGCCATTTAAAAACATCCACCCGCCCTCAAGTGCTAGCCGGACGGCAAGCAGCTGAAGAAGGTATGGCATTGGCCTCAGGGATTTCAATAGCTGTATATCCAGTTTTAGTTTCAAGTCACATACACTATGTCTTCTTCTAGCACTGGATTAAGTACAAGTCAACATTAGTGTCTGGCATGAAATGATGGGACTTCTAAAATCAAGTAAAAGTGTCTGCTCACCCCTCTCCTTGGGATCTGTTGTGATTTAGGTCAGAGTGACTGGTCAGTGTCCCTTCCTTACAGAAAGTATCCAGTAAAAGCATTGGTCAGCACATCTACAGCAGTATATTAAAAAAAAAAAAAACAGACTTATATGAAATCATGAAAAGCATCACACAACACTTTGTTAGGTTGAACACGTTGCTCCCTGTAACTGGAATCCTGTAACTGGAATCCTGTAACTGGAATCCTGTAACTGGAATCCTGTAACTGGAATCCTGTAACTGGATTATCTACTTTCATGATTTAAAAGAAATTAGATTTGTAAAATATATTTCGGTGATCAATTCTTTTACTTGTAGTTCACAGCAGCAGAAGTTGGTTGTCAAACC